ATTTATTAACTATTGCATCGATATGTAGTTAGTATGTATGTACCATTGCAAATATACGTAAGTATGTATGACTATTGCAAATCTGAACTGAACATATTTGAGTAGTTATTATGTACTCATTCGCAATAATAGATAAATAATTATATGTTACTGCCTCTAAGTACTTTGTTATGGTATTACTAGAAGAAATATTACTATTTTTGTTTTTATACACTTTCAAATTAATTTAGCAACACGCACGTGTATTTTTGTCGATTTATAATATGTCATAAAATTGGGAATACATGTCGAGAAATGGGTGGTTGCATTCTCGAAATTTTAGATGCTATAGAGGTAACTGTGATCTTCAAGCCCTGAGCTAGAGAGAGTCATTTATACAGCTGTGGACACCGACCAGGGTTGAAAGAAACAGGAAAGGTCACCATATATCCAGGCCCTGGCATGGCACGGAATGGTCTTTAGTCAAAAGAGTCTGAAGGCCGGATGACTCATTTGATGATCTACCATCCTTACAAAAAAGCTAATGATAACTTACTAATTTGTAGAAGAGAGAGACCTTCTTGTAGTGAATATGGCTGATGATGATAACTAACCTTACTTTCTTTCTTTTCCCATGAGAACGACCTTGACCTCACGAAAACGTCCAATTTTCCATTCTACTGTAATAATTGTAACTCACCAAATTATTGTAATTGTTACCTACGAATGAGTTACTTGTGCCTTCTGCTCTTGTGCCTTCTATTCTTCTTTCATAAGAAATCTGCAGATGTTCCAACCTACCTGTTAAGAGGAGTCTACAAATGCATTTACATATTTCGAAAACTGCGTAGTTCGGACGAGAAAATGGGTGGTACGTACGCAATAGTCGAATCACGCGCAGGTGAGTGCCGGGGGCTACATTAGTATAAATATAAACTATAAAGAAGGTAGATGAGTTAATTGTTACGCATTCGTACTAATTTGCTTCGAAATGGTTTGCTATCAGACATCGGGAGCAATTACTGGCGGCCTTGGATCATTATGAGCTTGATGCTGGGGAGCGCAACATTTTTATTGTTGCTTGTTTAATTACTTCATTGATTAACTAAGTTTATGACTGGTATCTGCGCAAAAAATCTTTGTGACCTATTTTTTTTAACTATGTATTTTTATACTTTATATTTTAAATGTAATCATAAACACCATCACACAAACTTATATAATTAATATAAAAATAAAAATAAAATATAAATAACATTACGTCTTTTGATCCTTGACTTAGATAATATAAATAGTGAAAAGTGGGTGTTACATTGGACAGTGGCGTTAAGTGCCGTAATATGCATCTCTGACTACCCCTGCGGATATAAAGGGCGTTATTTTATGTTCTATTGAGTTTCAGTCAAAAACCTAAAGCGTTCCAGGATAACAACTAAACTGAAAAGTTATGCTAAGTGGTCGTATTTAAACTGTCAAACACCTATTGTTCTTTAATTGTGTCTATGATGATGGTACTCAACGAGTAAGAGCCATTAGACCACCAAAGAGCCATCAGACCACTACGGGTGGGCCCAATTGTGCTGATGCCGATACGGAGATGCGGAGAACCTAACGGGTTACCGGGGCTCCGGCTCGAAGTGCATGAGTAGGAACGGGGTGGTTTTTAGTCAGTAAGAGTCTGACACTCCGTCCCGCCTCACCCAGGCGGGAGAAGCCATTCGATGATTAAACCCCTTAAAAAAAAGTGATCGTATTTATTAATTTAAGAGATAAATGATGTGTGTTAAGTTAAGGGTTATCAAAATCATTTTCATAACTACAGAGGAGATAAACAAGCTAACGGCACATCTAGTGGAAAGTTACAGTCAATTAATGGTGACCACTGATGACGCGATGCTAAATACGTCTTCAACACCAGAAGAGGCTTTGTTCGTACGTCACAGCGAAACGGAATCAAACTGTTGAGCGCCTCTGACATTCTAAGCAATAAATCAAAGTTTGAGACTTACGAATCGCTGTTGCAAGAGACATAAGTACAAAGGTACTTACTTATGATATTTTATGAGGAACTTCCTCTGTTATACTTTTAATATTGTAATCCATTGCCTTATTGGTGCAGTATTGTGTGTTGCAAAGCCAGGTCACAAGTTCATCGGATTTTGATGATTAGTGATCATCAGCACCGCCCATGGGATGCTCGCAACATCAGAGGAGTCAAAATGTCAAAAAATACCTCTTCTCACACGGCGAAGGTTTGAATTAATCACCACGCTTGCATATGCGGGTTAGCGATTTCAAACTTATAACGAGAAATTAGTAGATGTGCCCGCGACTTCGTTTGCGTGGAATAGTGATTTGCTGCGCATACCCCGTAGGTGATAGCGTGATAATAATGTAGCCTATATGTTGATCCGACCCGTTAGTAATAATCATACAAAATTTGAAGTAAATCCATGCAGTACTTTTTGAGATCATCCCGGACATACCTACATACAGACAAATAGCCAAAATTTTAAAAACCATATTTTTTACTTCAGGATCAACTGTAGATCACATCCCAAGTATTGTTTAAAAAAATATCCAATGTACAGTTTTCACTTTTCTACGATTTTATTATATGTATATAGATAGATAAGCCCAGGTTTCCTCACGATGTTTCCTTCACCGTTTGTCAGTGGCGTCAAAATAATCTTAGAAAATACATATAATTCGGAAAAAGTCACATTGATACTTGCCGTTGGTAGCTTTCAACTCCTCGTTCATGAGAAGCGGACGTTTTAAACCTCTGGGCCACCACGACATACCCAATAATACCCCGGTACTTCGGTTTTTTTGAGGGGGGGACTACATCCAATGGCCTCTCCCGCCTTGGGTAAGACGAGAGAGAGTGTCAGACTCTTACTGACTATACCATGCTGTCTCAACTCCTGCTTCGAGCCGGTACCTCGTTCCGGAGCTCCTTGAGGTTCTCCGCAGCCCCGGTCTACCTAAGTAGCTTTACTCGTTGATCAAGGCTCTCTAAAAACAAACAACAAGTGTAGGTTCTTTCCCGGAAGTGGATAATTATTTATCATAAAACAAAGTTCGACAGACAATGCGCTGTATGTTTTTTTTTTGATGGCAATCTTTGGCCTTCCAGGATTATGGCCTTAGACCATAATAATTATAATCTGTGGACGTGATATGTAGCATCTCTTGCTCATATGAGAACTCGTAGCTACCATGTAAATAGATGTGATCACGTTCTAAAGTTCATTGCCCGTGTAAAGTTAATGTGGAGGAGTTTTGAATTAAATGTCATGCCTGTTGTTGTTGGTACCTAAATGGAGAGTGGGTGTATTTTAATTAATTGTACCCATTTCCAATTAATGACATTATTAGGTCTCTGAATTGGGGATTAAAATCTAACCATGACCCAGATACCATTCCAAAATGCCTTGTTATTACTGAATATTTAAAAATGAAGGATTCCAACAACGTGCATTTTATCTGATCCAGGAATCGAAACCGAATTTTGCGAGCACTTGCCAAATGAGATAGTGTGATATAATTATTTGTGTTAACCTTATACCGATTGCTTTGAATTTTTGCAGACGTAAAGTTAGAAGTCTGGATTAAATACTACGTACTTTTTATCCCGGAAAAATTTGATATTCCCGAGGGAAATCAAAAGTGTTGGTATAGATGGCGCTGTGTGTTGGTATATGTCACATAGGCTACTTTTATTCCTTTTGTGACGCGTGCGAAGCCGCGGGTAAAAGCTAGTACATAATATGTAAAAAACATAGTGAACTTATGAATTTGTAAACTCTTTACATTTAAGTTTTTCAGTTTAGTTTTTTTAATGTCACATGCGTGTAGGTAGCATGCAGGATCTGATATCAAACACACGATTGTCTGGGAACTAGCGTTTTTATAATGGCTTCGGTCGGTAAACTCCGGTGAGTTCCGGATGCCCAACCCATTGTTTGATAGCACCATTATTTTAGCAGAGATCTCCTCCCCTACGTGGTTTGCAGCTCACCTGTAACTCTTCTGATCCTTTTTCAATGTTAAATATTATCTCCACGGACTCTTCGTCCGTGCTATTGTCATACATTTTTATTTAAAATACGTCTAATCGATATTAATTAAGTACCGTAAAACGGGGTGAATAGAATTCGAGGGGTGAATAGACACAGGAATGGGGTGAAACAATGTTAGAATATTTTCCCAACATTTATTCACCCCGCGAATTCTATTCACCCCGTTTTACCGTTACCTATGTTACATACTACAATTAACCACATCTATAATTATTACCTATTATCTGTTTACATCTATTTCGACGGCTCTACGAAATCAGCTCATTAACACGATGGGAGAGCTGACCTGACTCAGCAGAAGGCACCCGTTCACGAGGATGCGTATGTGTCAGCAAATAGTCCGGTCAACCTTTTTATTGGGAACGGAACAACCCAACACACAGCGCCACCGACTGTAGGACATTTATGTGTGCATGACGCCTCAGCCCTTGTTACGTTGGTCGATTCCAACAGAGCTTACAATAAGCCAAAAGTTATTTGGTAACTTTCTATATCTACCATTACCATTGATCTATTTTACTGATCCTTTAGGGGTTAGGTATTTAATCTATTTGCTAAAATCAGATACAATGATACTTTTCGATGCGAAAATTTGACAGATCTTTTATTCCTATGAATCCTATGCTATCGTATCAGCACTCGAGCATAATATCCGAAACGTTTCAATTAATGTTCAACTTAACAAAAGCAAACTTACAAAAACAAACTTTTCAAAAATCTGTAATTTGCGTTAATTATGGCTATAAAAGGAATCATGACCAAATCGTACATAAGTGCATCAATCGGAGCGTAAATCATAATCGATATCTAAGTATCGATTTAAAAATGGGCAAGGTTATATTTTTTTACAATAGGCTGTATGAAGATGCGCTCTCGACATGTCGGTGTATAAAAACAACATGGAGCATAAAGTGTATTAGTGCGTTTAGAGAACTGGGCCAGTGCGTTACATTCTATATTCAAATTTGCGCGGCAATTCCATTTGTTTTATTTGACGTAAATTGAAAATTATTTGTGATTTTTTGTGTGATTTCTTTTCTATTTGGATTTAAGGTAAATACTCGATTGTCTTTTTTATATTTTATTAGTTTTTAATTCACTATTGGTTATCGTTAGAATTACAAATATAATATTTACTTATCGTGTTTACTTCTATTAAAATTTGTTCTACTGTTAACTCTAATAATTTATAGTTATTTATTTAAAATAGTTATGTTAATGTTATATTGACTTTTGTTTTTGTCTGTTATATTATACTACGGCGTAGTGAACGCGAGCTTAGCACGCTTTTTTTTAAGGGGGAAAATCATCGAATGACTGCTCCCGCCTGGGTGAGGCGGGAGGGAGTGTCAGACTCTTACTGGCTAAAAACCACCCCGTTCCTTCTCCTGCACGTCGAGCCGGAGCCCCGGTAACCCGTTAGGTTCTCCGCGACAGCGTAGCATCTTATCGAAACTAGCACTATCTGAGAATTTCAAATCACAAATCCTGATAAATAAACTGATTTTCCGTTCATTAGTCTCGCTAAAACTCAAGAACGCCCGATCAGATTTGGCTAATTTTGGTCTTGAAATATTCGTGGAAGTCCAGGGAACGTTTAAAAGTGAAAAAAATCAAGCGTTACGAAGTTTGCCGGGTCAGCTAGTCAGATTTAATTATTAATTATTATGCTCTTAAGAAAAGTTCTTAAGTATTATTATCTTGATCAGTAAGTAAATTTTGCTGACTTGCTTAAGAACCTCATAATACCTAATTAGCAATATTCTAAATCGAACTCAAGATTATGGTTTACGTGTAAACGTATTGCAATTGTGACTATCAAACCATAGTCTTTATTGTTTACCATTTCGAGATTGGTTTGCTTACGTAAGGTTCAGCGCGATTGAGGGTATTTCCTCCTGCAAATTGAATCAAGGGTAGTCTTCAGATGGCCGAAATTAACTACCGGTCTTTATTCAAAATTTACATCTCTAGATCAATTTTGTATTTTGTTGCAGTTTTTTAAATAGATAAAGTGATTTAAAAGGAACGTCTGTGTCCTACACCTCTTATCCTCGACCTCTCGTCTTTTCGTCTAATAGGGCATTAGCTATTGTCATCATATGCAATGGCATCATTGGTCATTCAATTTTTGGCAGCTGGGTACCAGATTGGACAAAAAAAGCCTCTTGGTACATTTGCAGCATCTGCTGATCAAAAAGACGTTAATTCCCATTAAAACTTGCAAAACCGCGGCAAAAGACCAGTAACTAGTGAAGTCAAAAAAGTCAAAGTCAAAATCATTTATTTCAATTAGACCAGGAAGGCACTTTTGAACGTCAAAAACAGAATATTTAAATATTAAATAATAAGAAAAAATGTCAGTCTGTAGGTCAGTCCTCTAGTGAAGCTATTTGCTCGTTCCAAAGTGTAGATTCTATGGAGAAGAACGAGCAAGAAACTCCATAGGTTAACTCTTCTTATCCTCAGTTCTTTCTATCCTCAGTGTCTAAAAAATATAAACTGCGTTTAAAAAACCGACTTCAAAAACCCCAAAACTAAAACTAGACAAAAAGTCAAAACTAAATAGCAAGCAATAAATGTTAGTACTGATAGGTTACCCACCCACTGATAGATTAGAAGTCGTGCTTATCATGGGACCCTTCTGGGACTATCTCCTTTCCGACAAGAAAAGAAATATCAAAATTGGTTCATAAATAACGCAGATTTAGGCGAACAAACATAAAAAAGCATATATACGGATGAATTGAGAACCTCCTTCTTTTTTGAAGTCGGTTACAAATCTTTTTTAAAAACTATATTACGAAATACTTATCCATTTCTGACATAATAGTTAGGCAATAATAAAAATCCCTTTAAAAAGTTACAATCATTGCTTTGAACTATAGTTTAGTAATGGGACTATAAACTCAATTTTAGTGTTTTTAAGGTGCTTTTTATAAGGGCCGTAGTTAAATATTTATTGTTGGTTTTATGTATATTGCTATGTTATATTACGTATGTACATATTACCAGTTATGTGTTTTCACCAGTTTCATGTAATAGAGTTAGTGTTTTATCATATAACATACCGATATTCTAGACATTTTTTTTAAGGGGGGCAAATCATCGAATGACTGCTTCCGCCTGGGTGAGGCGGGAGCAGTCATTCGATGATTTTCCCCCCTTAAAAAAAACTAAGGAAATAAACCAACCGACTTTAAAACCAGTTACAACATATGTACATAATATAAAAGTTTAATTAAACGCGCTTTACTATGGGAGTACTGTAATCTGATACGTTATATATCTTCCCTTAACTTTTATGTAATTGTTTTAATTGTGAAGGCATTTTCTTAACTTACGTGTTATGCAACAGATCGCCATCTTGCGTGGGAGTGGACTATTGTTTGATAGTCCGATGGCTAGCGATTAGATTATAGATTTACGAGGTGTGGAGATAGCTCGTTTCTCGTTTCTGGGTATTTTGTTACAGATGGTTAGATTTTTAGGTTCAAAGTGTGATAGTGTTTGATTTATCATTGTCGTTAAAAATGGTACGTGGCAGTTCGCTGTTGGATTATTAGGCGATTAGAACTTTACTTTTCTTAAAAAAAAAAACTTTGCCTCTTACTAGGATTGTGTGGTGCGTTTATGCACACGGTTCACATACACATGACACCCAGACCCGGAACAACAATTTGTGGATCACACAAAGAGTTGCTCCGATCAGGAATGGACACGCTATACGTTGCGCGGTACCCGGTTACCCAGACACCGCGCCAATCGTACAATCATCACTTTGTAAACAATTTTGAAGAAATTCTATTAGGAATTTAAAAAGATAGAATCTAGGTAGTATCCGGAGGCCTTAACGGGTTGTCGCGACTGCGGCACGAAGTGCAGGAGTAGAAACGGGGTCGTTTTTAGTCAGTAAGAGTCTGGGAATGGGACAGTCACACACGCCACACCCAAGGCGGGAAAAGTCATTGGATGATTTTCCCTTCTTAAAAAAGAGGGGATACAAGTGCCTGCTTTAACTTCTCAAGGAACCTAAAGTTTAAGTTTTTAATTTTTTTTTATGTCTCATGGGAATAGGCAGAAATTGTAGAATGCCAGCTATGGTATACATACTGTTGTACCTGGCAGCTGGCTTCCATTACATTCGTATACATTGGTTAAGCCATGCCCTTCAAATAATTGTTTAGGTTAAATAGCATAACATCACGCCTTTTATCCCCGAAAGGGTAGGCAGAGGTGCACATTATACTATTGTACAATGTAACACCCACTTTTCACTATTTATGTTATGAGTCCCATGTAATAGGGGGTGAGCCTATTGCCATATATACCGGGCACAATTCCAGACTCCGTGCTACTAGGTTAAATACCTCATATTTACATGATTTAAAATTTGATTTTTTTTTCTCTTTGCAGGCTTTTCAAGATGGTGTATTGTAAGGTAAGCAAAGAAACTTTTTCATCAGCCGGTTACCTTCACTGCTGGACAGGAGATAGGCCTCCTTAATCCCAAGTCATTGACCTCAATCACAGTACCCTCAGGTTTTCACAGTAGATTAATTCAAAAATGCTTTTTTTTACTTTTTCTTTTCTGTCCACTACCCACGACTGCATAACACATGATTGCATATATCAGCCCATCTAAGTAAGAGTAATTTTATCATCAATCCTAATAACTTGGGTACCAGGCAGCGTCATGCTTGGGAACGCACGTAATGATATGATAGCTTAGGAAATATTGGGGAAATTACGGTTAAAATGATGGCAATTTTGTTGTAACGTCATGTTTTTTTCTTGAAGGGATTTGCAAAGTACATGTAAAGTTATCTACACATGACAACATGACATATTATATCTACGTTTTGTCCATACTAAGCCATGATTCAATTAATTTTTATATCATTAAAACTGAACCTATTTTCAAACTGAGAGAAGTAAAACATCGCTAGGGGGTTGTTGAGGGTAAATCACACTTGAACAAGTGCTGAAAATCAGCGCCGCGACTCGAGCGCACTCGGGCCACGGCATTTAGCTGAGCACTGGTCTTTTGCGCGGTCTTCACTGTTTTTATTTTTTTTTCTTTTTATGTTATTGTACTTTGTGACGGTGTGCAAATAAACCATTTCTCTTTCTTTCTTCATAGATGAAAATCTATTCAAAATATCTCAAGATGTTAATTTTCACCATCCATCCATAACCAAACCTTGGCAACCGTAGCTTAACCCAAAACCAAAGCCACAACCTCCTCATTTCTTGCGTCATTTAATCACTACCAGCAGGTAATCAACTGGATAGGTACATTTATTATAGATAAACACATTTCAAAATAAAATTACCTACGAGTTTGATCCAATTGCGTCCACGCAACTATTATTATATGACAAATAATAGAATGCCCGTATGTATTGGGAAATGTCTATTTTAAGTCTGTGTTTCTCAACGTTTTTAATGATTTTGATATTGGTTAGAAATGTTTCATCTTTTTTCTACCCTTTTGTTTTGGGATTTAAGCAGCTCCAAACTTAGTAAATCCATTTTTAACTTCTCTGGTGTCATGGATGCCCATGTACGGCTCATTTACCATCAGTTGATCCGTCTGCATATTTACCCCTTAAATATTCAGTGTTCTAAACGCTGTTCATGTTGAGAATCGCTGCTAAAATAAAATAATTTTCGTGTGAATTGTTATATAGATATAATGGTAGGTAGCTTGGCGATGGGGCATCGTGTACCGGGTGTATTATAATAAGTACCTATGTAGCGTGGTAGAATTTATTGTTGTACCTGTACACTTGCTGTCATGATTGTAATCGATCAGTTATCTTTTTTCACTACTACCTTCTACCAGCGACTTCAGCCGCGTTGCCAGGATTCGAAGTAGCTTATATGTGTTTTCCAAACTATAATCTGTCTCTGTGCCGAATTTTATTCAGATCCGTTCATTAGTTTCTGCATGAAATAGTTAAAAACCAAAAACTTAAGTCTCTTGCCAAGACTCCCTGCTTGGCAGTTGTACATGATCATTCGATGAAATAGATTGTCCTGTATTGTCTTAGTGTATTATGGTCTGCAGACGGCACTAACGCATCACTTGCTACACTTTTAATGGTGATATAATTCTTGTTGTAATCGCTTTGAGACGGCTCAGTAAGATTCAGTTTATATACGGTTTATACAAGCAAGCATACGACACTAACGTTAATCACATAGAAGCACAAAACGCACTGTCATTTAATTTTTCTGGAGCTGTTCTCCTTTATTAAGAGGAGAAAATCATTGAATCTCCCTTCTTCCACACTGGATGAGACGAAAGGTCAGACTCTTAATGAGGTAGACCCAAGGCAGCTGCTCTTCTCCGTGGACAGCTATCCAATAACCAAGCCCTAGACTTATGGCTGATCCACAAGTTCACAGGCGACCTAGTAAAGGTACCAGGTAGCACGGAAGTCACAACCGGCCAATCTGGAAGTCATTATCATAGTCATAGACTTTTGTCAACTATGAACTTCTTGTAGCTGACATGTTGATGATGATGAGAGCTTTTTTATTTGAAATGGGTCAAATCCTCCACCTCTTCCCAAAACTGAAAAACAGAAACCAAACCCAAAGATGATAAGAGCTATTAAAAACATATAGTTACCGTACACTATACCATAATGACAGCAGCCATGTAAACCCATATTTATAAAGGTACAACAAAGAAAATGGTCTATGGTCAGTGTACCATGGGAACTATTGTTTCTGGCGGACTACATTACATTATTTCCTACCTTCACTATGTTTGTTTAAAAAGATTTAACACCATCGCAGAATACTTGTATTTTTAAGTAAAACATTGGTATTTTCATGTTACGACTGAAAAAAGAGATACAACATGAAACCCTCATATTTTTACCGACCCGGATTAAACAAAACGCATATTCGCATAGATAATGCCTTTTGCGATAACTCGATCATTGTAGTAATCTGCATATTTTTTAAAAAAAGCCGTTTTATTTTGTAATCCATGACAAAATCGGTAGAACAATAATAGTCGTGAAAGTTTTACTTCCGTGATTACAAAGTGGCAAAATTTCATTTAACTAATTGAAATTCATACAAACTTAAATGACATTTGTTTTATTAAATATCTTGCATCATTATCAACAGCCCATGACGGTAAGCAGCTGGACTATGGGTATTTTACATATCAGGGTTTACCATAATCTCCACGCCTGGCTGATGGGTTTAAGATCGCAATTTAAAAGGTTACTGTACAATCTTTGTCCAGTGTCGGTCGCCTCTTAGAGCTATATTTCACTCGGACACCATGGTAGTGCAACCAGTCATCGCCACCAATGTAGGTACGCCTGGTGTCCGTTTTGTTATCGATTCCCGCGGGGCAACCAGTTTGGACGCCAGCACAAAATATTACTGCTCGTTCATCCACACCACTCTGTATGGTGTGTTACTCACTCAGTCGCCAGTTTAGCCGCCACGGTGGCGCGTTTGGTTGCGTCGCCATGATGTCTCCGCGAAATATATCCATTATGATACCCACAGAAAGAGTAGTTAGGTGTATTCTACATCGCGATCACAAACTGCTAAATGTTTTGCAAACATGTATTTTATTTAGGTTCTAAAATAATAGAACTTTTATCTATTTTGACAATACAATGCAAAAACAATTGAATGGAAAGTTTCTTTGTTTTATTTTTGGTGCTATTGTGTTATACGAATCATATGTAGGTATAATATGTGTACAGATAGATACACAACAATTTCTAACTTAATATTAAAATTATAAGTTTGAAATCGTCAGACTGCCATCTTGAGCTACCATAGTATACAGCGATTCAATGCGAATTGAGTAGAAATGACTTCTTGATATGAGAAGGCCTTTGTTTAATATTAGGGCTACATAGATATAGAGATAGATTCTATTCTAATGACATTTACGTCAAACCCATACATTAAGTTTTCTTCAATTATAGCTTAGGAAAATGCCATTTAGTTCATAGCATTGGACGTCGTCTACCAGCCCATTGCCAGGAACCTTGCAGAAATGGACTAGCCGGCCCTTTCACCGGCCAACATGCATAATTACTTATGTATTCTCTAAGCTAATTCCCACGTAATGAATGGGAGGTTCCTCCCATACACATAGATGTAGTTGGCTAACTACGGGTTATGCAAGTGCAATTTTTCCTGGAATTTGGACTAGGTAGGTGTTAAGACTTGTTGATGTATGGAAAATGAAGGTTTGTGTAGTTTTAGATTGTTATTTTAATGACACTCTAACCTCATTGTTGATGACAAGTGTGGGTAACAAGCTATTTGAGTTCAAAGAGAATATAACTTTTATTTGGCTTTTTTTGCAAGCCACACGACGGAGTCTTATTCCTTTTATGACAATAGGGTAGTTTCCTAAATTTTATTTTAATGTCCGTCTGGTAGATTATTTTAAAAAACATTGAACACGTATAGTTTCTTTTCTCACAAAATTAAATGCTTTCGACGATATATTGATTTGAAATGTCGTGTGACGTCACAGCGTGCTACAAAATATAGCACGTTGTGACGTAACTACCTTCCACTCCTAAACTAGCTCCATTTTATCTAAGTACTAGCTTCTGCCCGCGACTTCGTACGCGTAATCCCATTTTTTCCCGTGCTCGTTTGTGATTTTCGGTAAAAAGTAAAAAAAAGTATTGGTTAAAAAGTATCCTATGTCGGTCTCCTGGCTCTAAGCTGAGGTAGCTTACCTACCAATTTTCAGCCAAATCTATTCTGCCATTCTTGAGTTATAAGTGGTGTAACTAACACGACTTTCTTTTATATATATAGAATGTAAGATTACACGAGTAAATAAAAAAATACGTGTTCAATATTTTTTCATTATCTAACTGACGGACTAAGTAGATTTTTAATTTTGATACCCTGGAAACTATCCTATTCACCCCCATTACATGGGCTAATACAACTGGTAAAAAATGGGTGCTATAATTCTTACTGCTTCTTAGAAGACAAACGACTTTATTTTAGGATCTCTGATCTCATAAGCAGTAGCGTTTGTGTGTAAAGAACTACAAAGCGAGTGACGTTTTTAGTACTGCAGTCTAATTGATAAATCTGTTCTACTGATACAAAACAAAGCGTAATTAAGGCTCATTTTACTTCTTTAAAACGTTCTCACCTTTTATTCTTCTATATACTTTCAGGTGTTCCTAGTGACTCTGCTAGCTGCAGTAGCCACCAGCGAGCCCCCAGTCTCCGGTTACAACTACCAGCAACCAGCCAGGCACAACAGCTACAATTCTCCTACCAACAGTTATTTGCCACCTACCACTGGTCAGTAGACTTACAGATACGTTTAGATGCTTTATTTTGTGTGCCTTAAATAAGCATTATAGTTTAAAGATTGTTAAGGAAAATGTTAAAATCTTAAGATTTTAAACCATATTTCATTATTAAACAAAATCCCCGTTGCCTCTGTCTGACTGTTTGTTCGAGATAAAACCAATCAAATAGACTTGTCAGCCACAGAAACAAAAAGCTTACGTGAAATGCTGGGATTAGAGGTATGTGACTTTTGATTCCTTAACTTCCATTTTTATTAGTACGCTCATTTAACTAGGATTTCAACCTGTGACGCAACTCAGCCTGTGTACAAACACTAGTTACACAAAAATTAGTGGATCACACTAATTGATAACTGTAGCCCCATTTGTTTGTCGCGGAGAACCTAACGGGTTACCGGAGCTCTGGCTCGACGTGCAGGAGAAGGAACGGGGTGGTTTTTAGTCAGTAAGAGTCTGACACTCCCTCCCGCCTCACCCAGGCGGGAGCAGTCATTCGATGATTTTCCCCACTTAAAAAAAAGCCCAATTTGTTTGCACAATTTACAACATTGGCATCCAGCGTGTTATTGCTATTTTGACTGCACAACAGACTAGCTGTCGAGCAACGTGTCGCGGGTTCGATTGTCGCACGGAACAACTCTTTGTGTGATCCACATATTGTTGTACCGGGTATGAATGTCATGTGTATGTGAAATTGTGGATCTCCTGGATTCCAATCCAACTAGTGATCTGTATGCGGACGGATGGAAGGAGATTTTATCGGAATGCTTGAAGTACTGCGAGAGAAACTTACGAATGGTGTTAACTCTTGTTTTAATAAAGTTTTACTTGTTTTTTCTTTTTTTATGTTTTATTGCGATAACTCCACAACTTGATTGCCCCTAGTCCTTTCCATCATCGTACCACAAGACAATCGGCGAAGCGTCACCTTTTCATGGTAGCTGTTCCGCGCGTCACGAAGCGCTTCGCTTCAAGCTTCCTAGTGCATACTGCTAAAGAGTGGAATTCTTTGCCAGAGTCTGTATTTCCTGAAGAATAGGTTGCTTATGGGACGACGTGCTCCATCGTAGACCGCATCATCGCTTACCACCAGGCGAGATAGTGGTCAAACGTCGCCCCAACAAATAAAAAAAAACAAATGTCAGTTACTGTAATTGAATTTTCTGCCGTTGTGACTGCCGCACCCACGATACAGGAGATGGGGCAACGTTTAAAAAAATAATATTGTTTCCTTCAGGATTCACAGCACCTAGCAACAACTACCTGCCTCCGACCTTCGGTTCTGGTGCCCAGAACTATGACCACGGGCATGGACATCACGGACACGATCATGGACATGGTCATGGCCACGATAGTGAAGTTGTAAGTATATAATTTCTAGTACACTTGGCGTACCTTAAAGATCATGTTAAGCTGTTGCTTCCCCTTGGTTGGTAGAGAATCCCAAATCCTCATTTACAATCCCCAATTCCTCCCCAAATTCTCAACCCCTAAGGGCAACGCACTTGTAACTCCTCTAGAATTCCAAGTGTCCATGGACGACGCCGATTGCTTACCATCGATCCATTTGCTCGTCAGCCCTCATCCCTACCGCAAAACGCATAAAAATTTGATGACGGGTCTAAACAAAAATGAGGCTGCCACGCAACGTGTCGCGGGTTCAATTCCCGTACGGAAAAACTGTTTGTGTAACCCACAGATTGTTGTTCCGGGTCTGGGTGTCATGTGTATGTGAACTTGTATGTTTGTAAACGGACCCCGGAGAAAAACCTAGCGTAGAGCAACGTTTATTAAAACAAAATATATAACTTACTGGGTAGTTGTATTTCCTACTATTAGAGTAGCGTGGGACAATAGTAAACAGTCTACTTTAAATGAAGTCAGCGTGTCACAACAATGACGTCATCCTAAGGATTAGCATTCATTACATCAACTGACGTGGTAATTAGAAAGTTACATCATATTCGTTAGACACTGTTAATGGGGCAAGAGGAAGCGTATTGGAGAAACTAAAGTCCTATAATAATACATTTGATTCCTGAAACCGAGCTATGATAGTAGTATTCATTTTACCATCGCCTCTCTTTCTGTGGGTATTGTCAGCTGACTAAGGGACTACACCGTGAAATCTATTTAGTTTTCGTCCCGCGGCAAAACAACTTGCCATAAGGAGTACTTTCGATGTATAGAGGAAAAACTAAAAAAAAAATCAGGGAAATACGCACATGGAACATTAGACGTATAGGCACTACCGCACTACTCGCATCGCACGTGGCACCCGACGAGAAATACCTCTTCGTGATGCTTTTTGCAGTGGTTCACCAGTTATGTTTTGTTTTAAACATTTAATTTCTTTGCAAAACTATTGTAAGTATTATCAAGAAATAGATTCACGGTGTACAGTTATTCATTTGACAGAGACCCGCTTCTATAGTATGAAATACGTGATTCCTAAGTATGATGATATAATAAGTTTGTATTAATATCCTTAGGCGTGTACAATAACTTTCAGCAATGTCAATATAACCAATGTTATGTTTATATGTTTTCTTTTCGGTACTAATGTAATAAAACTGAATAGTATAGTTTGTTTATTTGCATATACTAATCTAAAAATTGAAATGGATGATGTCATGTCTTGTAATAGCGGAAAACTAAGACAAAGGAATGATGAAAATTATTGACAACACCCCACATTTCAAAGTTTTACAAACATACCACCTATTTGTTCTTTTTAGCTTATCTATCAACTTCAAAATAAATGCAAATCAGTACTGAACAGTGCTGTTTACATGTAGCGACTGCATATTCCCAGTATCGTAAATGAAAACAACTTTGTTTATTTTACAAAATTTTATAAACAAACTATAAGATTAATTAGTCTTCGTGCGCACATTATAGATGTGATAAGAATTAATCGGCCTTAACCTATAGATATTGTCTTCAATGCTGTAATATATGTCACCATAATCACCAAAGATCATACTTGATGGGAAAAAGTTCATATTAGCTACTTTCCTAGCCGTACCATTAAAACAGTTAATTTCATGAATACCATCATCAGAAAGTCCAAATGTCTTTTCACCTTCAACGAAAAAGTGGTACACGACACGCAAATCTTTGTTTTTTATCACTTCTTGACTATTATAAGCACAGAAAACTCCACACATAGTCACTATATGAACATTCTTTTGATTGTCCACCTCAAATTCCATCACGGTCTTCATATTCCCAAATTTCACCGCTGTCTGCCCTCGGTTGAATATCTTGTAAATCATATGATCATTAGCATCGATTAAGTACATCTCATTGTTCCTTATAACTATTTTGAAAACGTTCATGTTGTACAAACCAATATTTGTAGCAACATTATATATAGGATCGTACTTATATAGTCCATCGTCTGATCCAAAATACACTTCACTTGTATCTGGGTCAACTGCAGTGGCTTTATTTCTTGTTATCCCTTCAATTTTCATTGCTTGCTTTGTTACCACATTAACGAAAGCACGTCTGGAATTCTGTGCTACGTCGTCCATGTACATGAAAAATAGATTTCTGCTAGAAGAGTCGTACGCTAGTTCTTTTGGACTTTGAAAAGCGTTCGTTAGCAATTCTTTTCTGTATATTCTCGTTCCTATTTTTTCAATAGGTGTATCGGTTAAAAATATCGTCATCTTCGCGTCCACACACGCGAGTATCGCCACGAGTAACACTTTGCTGGACATTTTTGAGCGTGCGACACAAACTGAATCAGCTTCACCACTGGCATTGTTAATGTTTTGATTACTTATCTTAGTTTTGCCAACATCATTGTTACCGTCCTTTCCTCTGTTTGCATTGGAATATCGTTCTTCTGCATTTGTGATAAAGGTTTCACGCGATTTTATTAATGTTTCCTGTAAATCTGTTTGTCTGCACGCTCAGCTGACTTCTCGTAAATGAGCAAATTGTTGTAAACAATTTTAGAGGTCGTCTCATGTCTGTGTTCCATGTGTTGGGATTTACGTGGCCAGTGGGAACGTAATTGAGCTCGTTAAGCTGTGGTATGAATTAGTGGAATTTCTTGACTGATTTAATAGTCTGGAACTTTTATTTGTAACGTCCCTTGTTGGGTTTTTATTAGGGCTTTAATTATTTGATAAGTGTCGCCTTCCTACGATGACTTGTCGAGGAATTTAGTAGATCATAATCACATTTATGTTATGATTCACTTTATCGGGATAAACTGTATAACAATTTTTATGGTCCTACCCTATCACAACATAGTATAAAACAAAGGCTATCCGTCGTCTGTCTGTCCCTTAGTCTGTATGCTTAGATCTTTAAAACTACGCAACGGATTTTGATGTGTTTTTTTTTAATAGATAGAGTGATTCTTAAGGAAAGTTTCTATAATATTTATTTATTTATTTTATTTATTTCAACTTTATACAACAAGTGTGTACAGGTGGACTTAATGCCTTGGGCATTGTCTCCCAGTCAACCTTTAAGCAGTGCAGAGATGAAAGTAGCAGGTGATTTAAACCTTTATAAATAGGCAATGTACCAGTGTAATAAATAACAAATCTCACAATCAGAATATTCAATAAACACTAAACATATAGGTATATTTGAAAACTTATACATACTTACATATAACAATAATTATGTATACAATATTAAAGTAAATATATAAATAAAAAATAATGAAGATATATATAGAAATATATATGTACATTATAAAATATAATACAAAATATTAAATTAAAAGAGGTTTAGGTTTGAGATGAATCTACCAATTGTTGAAGAAGATGCTCCCGAACTTTAATCTTAAAAGCTAAGCGACTGGACGCCGTCCTGATATCCGTGGGTAGTGCATTCCACAGAATAACAGATTGTATGAAGAAAGAAGAATGAAGGAAATCAGTGCGATGACTGACACACTGTAGATGGCGATTGTTGGAAGAACGAAGATATTTACTGTGGTTTGCACTGGTGTATTGAAAATAGGTGGATAGATAGTTAGGAGAAAAAGGGGATTCAAGAAGAGAGAATAAAGTAGTTAAAGCCCTTTGCTCTACATATAATACATGCATATTGCACCCGTGCGAAGCCGGGGCGGGTCGCTAGTGTTTTATAATTCTATGTACAAATAATGTCTTATAGAGACTTTGTTCAACAATCATTGCCGATCTAGCACATTTTGATAGAGGAAAGTTTAACATTTTGATTAAGTATTTGTTTTTAATATGAATCTTTATATTAATTTGCAGCCCAAATCTTATGAGTTCGGTTACTCAGTGAAGGATGCGCAGTCAGGCAATGACTACGATCGTAAAGAGAGCTCCGATGGTAACGTGGTGCGTGGGGAGTATCGAGTACATCTGCCTGATGGAAGGACGCAGATTGGTAAGTTTTTCAACTTTAACCGAAACTTACCAACGGCACGTACCAATGTGACTTTTTTCCAGTTATGTACTTTCTAAGATTATTTAGACACCACTGACAAACGGTGATGAAAAATATCGTGAGAAAACCTGAGCTTATAATTTCTAATTATAAGTTTGAAATTGCCCACCCGCATTGAACAAGCGTAGTGATTATTGCTCAAACCTTTTCCGTGTTAGAAGACGCTTTGCTCAGGAGTGACCATTTACAGGCTGTTAATGTACAAAACAAAATAAAGGGAAAACCAGATTACAGTATTCACTACGTTCACCCGGGGCGTAGGCACTGAATAAGGAACTGCACATTTTTAACAAAGACCGGCGGGCAGTAACTGTAGTGCTTTTTGTTAAACTGCGGTCTTCAACGAAGCTTTTTAACTGCGACCTTAACCTGTCTACCAAAGTGTGGAGATTAAGGCAAAACCTTCTTAAGTAGAGAAGGCCCGTGGTGAAGCAGTGGACTGTCACGGGCAATTGTGATATAATGATGTCTGCAACAAGCTGATGATGATGATGAACTGTCCTAATGTCTATGGGGCATTAAAACCATTATATCTTTCTCCTACAGTGACATACCACGCTGACTGGCAGACAGGTTTCCACGCTGATGTGAGGTACGAGGGTCAAGCCAAGTACCCTGAGCCTACTTATAACAACAAGCAAGGTATGTATATTGTAATAAGTTCTATTTTGCTTTAAAGTTCCTAAACCAGTGACAGATTTTCATGACCAATTTCCTTTCGGTAGATAGCTTGTAAAAAGCTTCAGAGAGTTGTATCATGAAGCATTGTGAACGTCATCAGCGGCACGGGTGGTGGGTTAAGCAGCGGTAGCCTCCCAAACATGTTGCAAAATATTTTTTTGTCATTTTTTTCCCTGGATAATTACGAGCCGTCTCGCCTCATTTGGGCGAGAAAAGTCATCGGACGATCCCCCTCCCCCTAAATTAAGGGTTTCCATACAGATTAATTCAATACAGGAGAAATACATAACAATAAAAATATTTCTGTAATAACTATCGAGACACATACTAAATTAACTAAAAATAACGGGTTATACACGTAAATATATTGAGAAAAGCTCTACTAGTTTCAAGCCACAGAGGGACTCTTCCTCATACATGAGTAACGTGTGTATTTACGTCACCGTTATTTTTTGATGATTAAAAATATTATAATAGTAACGTAACATAACAGCACGCCTTTTATCCTCGAAGGAGTAGGCAGAGGCACTTAATGTCACTGTACAATGTAACACTCACTTTTCACTATTTATGTTATGAGTTCCATGTAATAGGGGGTGAACCTATTGCCATATACCGGGCACAATTCAAGACTCCATGCTACTACTGCGAATTAGTTATTTTAAAAAACCCAGTAATATTATGCCTGCCCCGGGAATCGAACCCGAGACCCCTTGCCCAGCAATCATACTTGCGACCACTCGGCCAACGAGGCAGTCAATATTATAACAGTATTTTATGAAAATTTCAGGAGGATACAACTACAATGCGCCAGCGCCAAGCGATTTCAGCGGTTCGTTAACCGGTTTCCATGGCAACCAGGGTTACAAACCGACAACCGCTTACGGACCACCCGGTTACCATTGACTTAACTATAACCGTTAACCAACTGCAGCTGTAGCTAATTGCCATTTAGCGCTTGTCTACTTGTACAACAGAAAACCAAATTATATGGAATTGACGTAAATTTTGACAAATTTTGGTAATCATTTTATATATTACTAGCTATTACCCGCGGCTTCGCTCGCGTTACAAAAGGATAAAAAGTAGCTTATACACACAGCGCCATCTATACCAATAATTTCGTTTTCCCTTATAGAGAATATCAAATTTTTCCGGGATAAAAAGTACCCTATTATTTAATCCAGACTTCTAACTCTACATCTTCAAAAATTCAAAGCAATCGGTTTAGTAGTTACGGCGTGAAAGCGGAACAAACAAACAAACTCATTTTCCGATTTATAATATTATAGTAAGGATTTTGTTAGAATAAAAAATGGTGTTCTTTATACTATTATTTCGTAGAATATCCATATTTTGTAGAGTATTTTGAACTTTGTCAAACACCGTATTGTCAGTGTCATCCCCATACATTTAGTTTTCTACTCTCTCTGCAGACAAGCGCTAAAGTACCGTTTGGCTAAAGGCACTTGGTTCAAAAACCAACGACTATTGTTATGTACGTAAAGTTAAGTTAACGTTTTTGTACAGTAAGAGTTAAAACTAGATTCTAATTTAAACCGATTTCAACAAAGTGGATTATTAGTATTTTAACTTCTTATTTTTTTATTTTGATAATATTTTCTTTTTGTTAAATAAACCGATTACATATATACGTAACTTTACGCCTGTCGCCTATAGGAGTACGCAGAGACTATAGAACGCCAATTGCTATGATTCCTACAAGCATGCATGAAACGATTGAAGACTGTTGATAAAGCGAAAGAGGTATTTAGTAAACCGATTATACATTTATAAAACTAATTTCATATGGAATTTATGCAAAATTTATTTGGAAATGCAATCTTACCTATTTTCATTCATAATGATATACTAAATTACTTATTGTTTATTTTATTTATTTATTTATATAAAACTTTACCTTCATGACAGGTTTCTCCATTGCGATAGCTAGACAACCTGACTAATTTAAATTGTATTTGTATTAATGTAAATATTTACATATAATCGACTTTATTTCAAGTTAATCGTTAATCGAAATATGAAAATAAAAACCGATATTATCTACTCCTCGAAAAGCTAGCTGATGATGAAGCAATTTTGAAAATTGGTCGAGTAATTTCCGAGACTACTCGAAACAAAGACACAAACAACTAATTCCTTTTTATAATTACGTATAATAATTATGTAATATTGATTACAAATACATAGTCTACTAAAAACAAACTCATAGTTTTAAGTATTTTATATCAACATTTTTTAATAAACATTTTTATTGAAATCTACAAGTTTTTCTTTTATAGAAATATATTTTTCACAAAAAACTAAATCTGAACAAATCATCACTGATTTTAGGTTTATATTTTTTATGAAGAATAAAATGAGCAGTATTGTTGCAATAGCAATATTTACTTAAGTGGGGATGAGTTTCACTGATGCAACTTGACTCATCACCGTATCTGGAACAAAAAAATTGTGTTTCATCCCCGGGTTTGGTTAATCGTGTGGTGGATAACAATATATTTGCCACCATCTTTTATTCCGCGGATGTCGTAAAAGTCGACTAATACCCGATTTTAATTAACAATCGCAGTTTTGTGTACGAGCCCTGTGTTATTACATCTCGATCCATTCAGCCGTTTTGACGTAAAGAAGTAAAAAACAAACAAACATACAAACTTTCGAATTTGGGATATTAGTATGATTCTCTCCTAGACAAACAGGACCTTTGCTACATTGGCGCCATTTTGGGATTGATTTGATTGATTTTTCAAGTTATTTATTAAACGAGTTAATATTAAATATGATTACAATCACTGTTTACAAACAATCTTATTCTATTTGTAGTCTTACCATGATTTATTTCGTTACACAGGCTGTCAACCGCCTTTATAAACATTAAAACATATTGTTATTAAATATTAATTTTACACGGATATTAACTTGAATATACATATATATAAGTAAATGGTATGTGAAGGTCTTGGAATGGACCCACATAATATTTAAAATACCTATATAGGTTACAAAACGTAAACAGTTATAAAAAACTGCTACTATTATAATAAATGTGAGCCGTGAGGTAAGTTGCGGGTAGTTTTGAGATTAAAAATTCGGTAGCCTCCATTAAAAACTTACGCGTTAACTCTGGATACATCCCTCTCGGTTATCATAAAGAAATCTTTCGCAGGAACATAGATCATAGTGCCTTCGTATATGGCGTGGCCAGGTTCCATTACAATCTGAAACGTACATAGGTTCGCGTTAAATGTGACGCCCATTTTGAGCTACATGTAATAATGTTGTCAGCTTCATATATCGTTTATGGGATTAAATTATCTCATACAGGAACCGTGTTATCCCTAAGGACTATGCAAGTGCCTAGGAGGCAAGGGGCTTACTCTTGAATCAAATTCCGATCGATCGACATTGGTATTATAAAATTTCGTACTCTTGGGTGCAACACTGGCGCCTTGTGAAATTTCGTATTATCTAGGCGCAACACAAGCGCCCATTGCATTCATATTGCGTGGATATTCAATAAATTAAATGGTATTGAGTTTGTTTTTATAAGCTTTATTCTGAATGCTATTTTAACTACGATAGGGGTTGTATAGTATTGACATTGAATAATTATTGAGATTTTGTTGGATTGAAATTGCATTGACATTGATATCGGTTTCAAGAGTAAGCGCCCAGGTGCGCCGCAAGATGCGCGTGCTCACTGCCAAACTTCCCATATGAGTGCCCATAGAAATAGATTATTATAATATACCATTGAACTAGCTTCCCGCCCGCGGCTATGTACGCGCTTTTGAGGATTCCGTGGCGCAGATTTATAAAAAAATAAAACTATGCATGATATTTTTTGTTTGTCATAATTATCAATATTTCCTTTAGCGGTCTACCTTCAAAATTGCGATACACTCCATACATAAACTTCCACACCACATTAGAGAGGTTAGAAAGGGATACAAAGCCGATGTTGCTCTCCATTCTTTCAACTATCTCCACTTAAAAAAATCACGTCAGTTTGTCACTCCGTAAAAGATGGACAAATACACAGACGGACATATTATATTAATATGAATTATAGAAAGAAGATATGAATAAACAATCCTACACTTGGGAGCAAAGAAAAAGCCACTAGAGATTTTTTCATTTTATCGAACCTCTATAACTAATTCTAAAATAAAAACTCCTTTTACAACAAAATGCTGTATAATAACTATCGTGAGACATATTAAATTAACCAAAAATCGCAGCAGAGCTAAAAAAGCAGTAGGCTGCGCGACATCGCCGCGCGCTGCTCATGAGGAAGAGCCCCTCTGACCAAGTAAGTTTAAGTGTGGGAGAGCCATGCTTCGGCACGAATGGGCCGGCTCGACCGGAGTGATACCACGGCCTCACAGAAAACCGACGTGAAGCAACGCTTGCGTTGTGTTTCGTCGTGTGAGTGAGGTTACCCGAGGCCCAATTACCTATCCCTTCCCCAATCTCCCCAATGCCTGAATCCCCAACGATCCTCAAAGTCCTATACGACATACGTTATCAATGAATAAAATACTTGTATCAGTATATTATCAAGAAGTTGAAAAGAAAAAACGCTGGTGGCTCCGTGTCTTTGCTCCCAATAGTATTGTATAGTTACCCTAAGTTGATAATAGTCATCGAGAGACGTTATATCGCCAGAATGCGCTTGATTAATAGACAACTGCTGTTTAAGAAAATAATTGTACAGTTTGGATTGATAATCTTCGGCAGTCTGATGCACGACCCATTCCGTAGTTTTTAGAGTTCTTTGTAAACATTGAAATCTGAAATATTAAAAAAAAATTATAAGTAAATCATAAACTTGCATTATTAACTACTCCTGGGCTGTTTTATCCGCTGCTCGACCCTGATTGGTCGTAGCGTAGGAGAACCTAACGGGTAACCGGGGCTCCGGCTCGACGTGCAGGAGAAGGAACGGGGTGGTTTTTAGTCAGTAACAGTCTGACACTCCCTCCCGCCTCACCCAGGCGGGAGCAGTCATTCGATGATATTCCCCCTTAAAAAAAAAGCGTGGTGTGGTGCTCTCCTCAATAAATAGACTATCCAACTCAATAACAATAGGGTAGTTTCCTAAACTTTATTTTCGTTTGGTAGATTAATTTAAAACATTAGACACGTATTTTTTCTTATCTCATAAAAATTCATAAAATTAAATACTTCCGACGATATATTAATTTGAAATATCGTGTAACCTCCCACTCCTAAACTGAACGCCATTTTATCTAAGAATTTTTTTTCTCTTATAATTATTTACGTGTCTAATATTTTTTCATTATCTAACTGATGGACTAATTAGATTTTTAATTTTCTTACGCTGGCAACTGGCTTATTATTGTCAGACCAGTGACCAAAGCCTTTTTATAAATTAGTATAGATACGTAATTTATTTATTTATTTAGTCTTTAATGTACACAATTTGATTAAAATAGCATATAAAGCGAACTTAATGCCATATGGCATTCTCGTAATGTGTAATAAAGGTGTAATATCAACACGGTGTGGTGACAGTAGGTATACTAGAATGTTTTGTTATCCCATCTACTCTTTCCGCGGGTGCCGTAGGAACAGACTAAGGGCTAAGATATGCCGCGGAGAACCTAACGGGTAACCGGGGCTCCGGCTCGACGTACAGGAGAAGGAACGGAGTGGTTTTTAGTCAGTAAGAGTCTGACACTCCCTCCCGCCTCACCCAGGCGGGAGCAGTCATTCGATGATTATCCCCCTTTATAAAAAAAGGGGCTAAGATATAACCAGAGACCGGGCAGCAGCATTCCCAGATAAACCTGATTCTTTGAGAATTTAAGAGAAGTGTTGCCCCCTCTTTTGCAGAGAAGATTCATAGTCCAGCATTGAAAACTGCCAGGCGATGATAATTGTTACCAATTAAGAAAAAAAATTGACCCTTTATTTGTATTTTTTAAGGGTAATATCATCGAATGACTTCACCCGCCTGGGTGAGGCAGGAGGGAGTGTCAGACTCTTACTGACTAAAAACCATCCCGTTCCTACTACTACACTTCGAACCGGAACCCCGGTTACCCGTTAAGTCCTCCGCGGCTCCGTATCGGCATCAGCCCACCCTTTTATTGTATACCCTGTATAAAATACCAGCTTCTGTCAGCGCTTTCGCTCACAAAGTAACCTTTGTGTTCCATCAGAGCGTAAACTACCACCGTTTAAATTTTCATCTCGATCCCTTCAGCCATTTTGACGTGACTGAGTAACAAACATATACAAACTCATTCACAAACTTTCGCATTCATAATAATATGAAGGAAGATAGATGAATCTCACCGTTCCTCATCGCTCAAGCTGTTTATGAACTCTGCAAGATTATTAGCAACTTGATGGTAGAATGGGTTCGTTTTGGACACGTTGGTCCAAGTCCCGCACGTGCACCAATGTGGCATGATACCAGCCTCTCCACACGTACGGGTCTTTGGTATCTAGAGGTAGAAAGACAATAATAACTTAAGGCCTATAGCACACGGCGTTTGTGGACAGGAACATACGACGTGTGTGGTTTCTTATGGTTATGCGGCGAGGCGCACGCGGCGTACACACGTACATACAAAGTTGCTGAATAGATATCGGAAAGAGTATGTACAGTCAAAGGTGAAAAGTCCACTGCCACCGTAAGACTTCTATCGGTTTCGCTGCAGCGCTTATGTATACACATGCACACGCATACGTGTGCGTACGCGTGCGTGTGTTTATGCGTAGGCACGCGTTTCATGCACATTAATATGAAATTACTTACACATTGCCTTATGAACATCACTCTCGGTGGCCGTGGACTTTTGACCGTTGACTGTAAATCAAAATCTAAAAAAGAATCTCTTCTGAAGTAGTTTCAAGCCACACTAGGAGCTACGCGACGTTTGCCGCGTCGCGTCGTGTAAAGCTGCTTATGAATATGAGCCCTCAGCGTGGCTTGAAACTAGTCGAGTTCTAACAGTTAGTATAGTAAGCTGTTAAATACAATAATGAATTAAGTTGATAAGATCTAAGCAAAAGCAGAAAATTTGTTCTTACTGGTGTCAACAGGGTCAATGCTCTTGGCATGTTAAACCCTGGCATTCCAATTGGCGGTCCTTCTTCCTCGAATCCTAGTACGTCTAACATCGTTGTGTAAATATCAAAAGGTGTTGTCAAGACATCCTTGTTGCTCACTAAAGCCTTCAAAGCCGATGGTTTAGCTTTTACTAGTTTTTGAGGCAGCATCAAAGCCATGAAGGGAAGTCTTTCTTCTAACATACCCTGATGAGAGCTCCTGCCTGGCGAGTATCTGGACAAGTAAGAAAAGAGTCAAGTGGTTTGTTATGAAAGGTAAGCTTGGTGCTATGCCAAGTGATGCCATTATGGTTTTGAAAATTTCAGTGGATCAATCCTTCTAATTCGATTTGAACATTGAATTAAAGGAAAAAAAAACGAATTAAGTAAAAATATAAGTACAGAATGAGACAAAGATAGGTCTAGTAGAAAAATTTCAACACGAGCATTAAGTACTTACTATAAATATCTATTTAAACTGGCTAAAAGGACCTTACTCTGAGATTCTTTAGAAGATCTCCTTTAAGCTCCAAAAGTGGACTTATTTTTTTTTCCTATCCTCACCTAGGTCCATGGTCTCCCGTAACAATCAACAAAGTGTCTTCTAACACTTTTCGTGCCGTCATCGTCTTAAGAAAATCTAGCAAACTATCATCAGCTGATGGAATAAACGTGTAGTTTGCATACGATAAGTCATCTATTACGCTGAATATAAACTTCTTTCCTTCTAGCTGTAGGCACTGAAAGAAGATTGTAACGATATAGAGTGGATAGGAGAATTGAAAATTGGACATAACACGCTGCATGAAGTCTATAATTTTACAAAGATAAACACGTGCAGAGGCTAGCGGGAAAGTAGAAGGGGATAGAAGAATACAAATATTGCTACACTGACTCCTTCCAGCATGTATCAGATACGCCTTCGGGAGTACACATTTGACAGAGATTGGACCATAAAGCCGGTGTGTTGGTAAAGCCAAGGATACACTAGGGAACAATAAATGTGCCACAACATGTATCGGTGACATATCATGCGACTTCGCTAAACTTCGCCGGACATATCTAACGACATCACAAAGTTTAATTTCACAAGGCAGTTGCATGTCGTGCGATGTTGCCAGATATGTCGTGCAAAGTCCGGCAACGTCGCGCTACTTCACTCAATGTAGCTGGCGACACATGAAAGAAAGAAAGAAAGAAAGAAGAAAGAAAAAACATTTATTTAGCACCAGGCACGATGTAGCATAAATAAAAAAAAAAGACAATCAAGATGTGACAGTGGAAGTAATAAAAATATAAGAGTTGAAAAATTTAAACAGAAGAATTAGAAAAGAGACGCTGACAACATGTCTATGCTAAAAGGGTGACCCACTCAGTGTAAGCCAGGCATACAGGCTACCCAGCACTGATTTTCAGTGGGCACCCATGCAGTGACGCATGGATGGTAGCAACGTAGTATGGTTAGACAAAGACAAAAAAAAATATATATATACATATATAATAATGCATCTGCACACCCACCACATACATACATATACATACACACACATATATATATATATATACATACATATACACACATACACACATATATATGCAATAAGTATGCAGATACAACAATGGTATACTTATCAATATAATAAATATAAAAAGTAATGTAAAATAAAATAATAAAAAAGAAAAATGTTAATAAATAGTACACATGACAGAATGAAGGACATAGAACAGCCAGTATGTCTGCGTTCTGCATCATTCATACACTAAACTGGCTAGAGTTAAATGATAGACAGATCAACATTATTGCAATTGCAGCCTTGTCTTTTTGCGAAGTTAAAATAAACATTTTAAGATTATATTTAAAACTATTTATACTTGGTGAGTCTCTGATAGGTGGAGGTATATTGTTCCAACATTTGGACGCTGCGTACCGAAAACTGCCTCGAAATGCTGCTGTTTTATGTTGAGGTATAGCTAGAAGCTGTGCACACTGCCTAGCCAACCGCTTTCGGTGAGCACCAACCCAGGATAATTTTGAGTGCAAGTACGAGGGACACTTATTTTTGATAACGCCAAAAAGAAGACAAGCTAGGTGGAGCTTACGACGTGACTTCATTTTTAGGAGGTTGTGATTGTTAAGATAAGGTGTAACGTGTCCCCTCGGTGGTATATTAAAGCAAAAACGGGCACATGCGTTTTGAACCCGTTGAATCAGCCTCTTTGTTCGTGATAAGAGTCTAGAGCCAATTACTGTATCCGCGTAATTTAATTTCGACAAAACCAAAGCTTCGGCCAGCTGCACTCGTAAATCCTCGCTGAGATATGCACGCATTCTGTACAGAACTTTCAAGCGGTAAAAACAATTTTACACAATTTGAAACATGGGTTTCAAACCTGAGGGCTTGATTCATTATAAGACCCAGGTTCCTAGCTTCAAATACAAGTTCGATTACTTGTCCACCCACTAATACGTTAAGTTTACTAGGAACCTTGTTCAACTGACCGTTTGTTCCAAAAAGCACATTTTAGTTTTGGATGGATTCAAAATGAGACAGTTCCGACTAGACCATTCAACTATGCTATTTAGATCCTCGTTTATAGCCGTCACTGCAGCCAAGTAATCGCCCGGCTTAAAAGAGAAATATATTTGAAGATCATCAGCATAGATATGGAATTTGCAATGTTTTATGACCTTAACAATATCGGTACAGTACAAAATAAATAGAGTTGGCCCCAATATTGATCCCTGCGGAACGCCCCTAGTTACCGGTTCTGTACCCGAACGCAAAGGACGATCCTTTGAATCGCGAATCTCAACCAATTGAGTACGGTTTTTGAGATAACTGTCAAACCACCTCAACGCTGCCATATCGAACCCATAATACGCCATCTTAGACAGTAGTAGTGACAAATTTATGGCATCGAACGCCCTAGAAAAATCCAGCAAGACCAACATGGTGCACAGACCTTCATCCTGTGCAGACAGAATATTGTCGGTTACGTCCAACAAGGCTGTAGCTGTACTTCGACCCCTTCTAAAACCCGACTGCAGCTCCGGAAGGATGCCACCACCCTCAAGAAACCTAGACAACTGCTCATTCACTACTCTTTCTAGCACCTTGGATAATAAGGGTAAGATACTGATTGGCGTTAAGTCTCTGAGATTACTAGGGCTGTTCACTTTAGGTAAAGGACGCACTATTGCAAGTTTCCAGGCTTCGGGGAATGAAGAAGTTGTTATGGAACCATTAATTATCCGTACCAATAAGTCCAGTGTTAGGGGGGCTGTCAACATATACATATCCAATGTGATTTGATCGCATCCTTCAGCATTCGATTTTAGGGCATTCAAAATGTTCAAAACCTTAGTAGCGCTCGTGGGTTTTAGGGAAAAAGCACAGTCGGAAAACCTATGAAATTCATAATACGTGAGATGTGATAGGGTCACCAGGAACATGCAAGAAATTAAAATTTATTAAATCTGGGTTATTAAAATGTGAGGGTAGATCCATATCGTTACTTGGAGGAAGCAGTGTGGCTTTTAAATTTTTCCATTTCCACATGTTGCACGATATTTGTGCCCTAGTGTATTCTTGGCCTAATTGCTATAAGTGTACTCGAAATTTGCTGACATATCAAACAGCAATCAAATCAATCACCATTTTACTTGGCAGTTGTGTCGTATACGGAAATAATGGACTACAGTACGTACGTCTTCAACTAAATGCATCAGCATCTGGTATTGAGGTACAGATTCTATGCAGTGATGGGAGAGAGAACGTTGTGGTTTCCCATTGCGGCGGGCCAAGGAATACGGACGGAGGTAATGGTCAGCTGGAGGGCTCGCAAACTTAAATTGGTAAGGTGTTGTTACTAAGCCCGTATCATCGAAATATGCTGTTCGGTACCTGATAAAAGAACAATAACAAATAAAGTGGCAGAAGTTTTTTAGTGGTGATGGTAAATCATGGTAGACATCAGCTACTCACTCCCTCTCACAGAAAAAGTGAATGAAAGTTTGGAGCGCCAAACTCATAATGTAATGTTATAATTTTGGGGTATGATGAAAAAGATGATGCACTATGCATTCAACACGTTAGTTGCCTATCCAGTCACTCGATGCCCGAAGAATTTGGCGAAAGAATTGCTCTTAATTTTTTTCTGGAGGCAATCGAGACTTTCCAAATTTCTACCAGGTCGTGTAGTGATACGTCTGTTGTTGCAGACGAACTTAGGACGACTTACTTATTTGAATTATTCGGGGATGACACCTCTGTCATCACCCCTTTTCCCTTCGGTTTTCGTAAGCGCCGCCTAAAGGACTAGGCAGCAGGTCTGTGATAAACCTGAACCTTTTAAATGTGGAAATACTTTTTACGGAGAAAAAGTCTGTAGTCTAGTAGTGGATTGCTAAAAAAGCTTGCCCCACACTAGTACTTTCTTCTTCTATGTCGTGGGTGCGTTTATAACATATAATTTCACAAAGTTGTTGTTAAAGGCTGTTATTGAAACTCACCCATGCGCTTTCAGCAGGTTAAAAATAAAATCGTTGGGATTGTCACGTGATGTTCCCACTTCATTTGGATCTTTTAAGTCAAACTCGGTTTTGCCTGTTAGTAGAGGATAAAGAGTTCCAGTTGTACCATCGCTGGCAATATTGTAACTGAAATATATATAATATATTTTAACATAATTTGTTTGTTTATTTTGTGTATTAAGGTCAGCTGGTTGGAAATGTCTTAGACTCTGCTCTTTTCAAAAAATTATTAATTTGTCAATTTTATACAAGCAATAGTTTCGGCTTTAGTGTCTATTAGAAATACCATTAATATATACCTAACCACTAACACTAACACTCTTATTCAAAATGTTGTATATTTATTGTTGAAAATCACATAAACACAAAAACTGTTTATTGTGGATAAGGAATAGAAATGTATGATTTAGTTTTACTTTGCTTTACTTTAATAAGCTAGGATATTGTTTTCTCATTTCTGCAACCGACTCACCCATTCAAAATCGTAGCTTTCATCTTTTCAGTGATATATTTGTAACTTTTCTTCATATTTCTTATAAATCCGCTGTGAGAGACGGATTCTAAGCAGAGAATTACTACGTTGTACGAGTGCTTATCGTCTGGCTCCAACGATATATTCCGAAAGCCAGTCTTCACACCTCTCCAATGGACACTTACATTAGGACTTAGAAAAAAAGAAAAAGTACATATTAATTTAGTCTGGAGCACGTCGCTGGTCACCCGATGTAACATAACATACTCATAACATCACGCCTTTTATCCCCGAAGGGGAAGGCAGAGGTGCACATTACGGCACTTAATGCCACTTTGCAATGTAACACCCACTTTTCACAATTTATGTTATGAGTCCCATGTAATAGGGGGTGAGCCTATTGCCTACCGTGCACAATTCCAGACTTCGTGCTACTACTGAGATTTTTTTTAAAACCCAGATGTACTTTGCCGAACCCGGCAGTCGCACTTACGACGACTCGGCTGATGTGCAGATCAAATTAAAAATAGAATCAATAGACGGTTTCATGAATGCATAAACGAGTGCAGACTTAGTTTGTAAAGCTAGATCACACCAGAAATGACGACCACCACTCTGTCAAGAGTGTAACGAGTTAAAGGCAAAGAAGAAGTGTGCTACGGTAACCTAGATGATAAAGGAACTCCATGGTGCCTCCAACACTATGATCTTCATACTCCAGACATCAAAGAAAGAAAAGGTATTGCTGACGATAAAAGTTACCAAATTCTGACTACGTTAGAGGATTTAATTATACATACAAATGTAGATCTCTGCCCGTACACTCTATTTTAACATGATCACTTTTATCCAGAGTCGCCGGCTCATCTCCAGTCACACTTTTAAGATAACTATAGTAATAGTTTCTATGGTTAACATAGTTTATGTTACTGTAGTCACAGGTCACGTCTCTTACATTTTTCAGAACATCTTTTACGAGACGGCATTCTGATTTCTGAAAAACAAGATCATAATATTACCCTAGGTTAGGCCTATGTATCTTAGAGCTGCGGACAACCTAGCGGGGTACTAGAAGAGCTCCAAATAGGCTATAGTTATGCCTAATTTTTAATTTAATGTCCGTCTGGTAGATTGTTTCAAATAATTGGACATGTATTTTTAATTTTCTTACAGAAACGAACACTTTTAACGATGTATTGATTTGAAATGTCCCGTGACGTCACTTCTATGTACATTTTATACGTAGAAATGACGTTTTAGCCCACTCCTAAACTTTGATTCTTTATCTAAGTATTGTTTTATTATAAGAAATTGAAAGTTACATAATAGCCTAGGTGCTCAGAGGCCTAAGTATGAATTTGTTTTACGTTTTTAAAGGAATTGAAACGAGTACGCGTTCAGCGCTCTGATTGGCCGTCCCTATTTACCAAGCCAATCACAGCGCCGACCGCGACGAAACGAGACCGCATTACTTTTAACGTAAAACAAAATCGTTCTAAGGTTTCAGTTCACTGCGCGACGTCGCGTCGTCACCACGTGTCGTGCACGCTGCTCATGAATAAAAGTCCCGGTGTGTCTTGAAATTAATAGAGCTTTCCTCGAATAATGCACTTGAGTGAACCGTATTTTTATTTGTCTAGTTGAGGTACATTTTTCATAATTACTTACATGACATTTAACCCAATCAAAGCCTTTACATTTGTACTGTGGTTTTGCGATATTATTTTCCATTCCTGCTAAAAATGGATCCAAATGTGGAATCTTGCAACCTTTATCCATATTTAAGTTCACATCCTTGTTCAAATTAAAGAGGGGTTTGTCCTTTACTTTATGTCTTTTACCGTGTCTGTAAGAAGAAATGAGAAAGACTATATTGATGCCCAAATTAACATAACATAACATCACGTCTTTAATCCCCGAAGGGGTAGGCAGAGGTTCCCATTAGGGCACTTAATGTCACTGTTCAATTTACCACCCACATTTCACTATTTATGTTATAAATTCCATGTTATAGGGGGTAAGCCTATATATAACATGGAGCCATATACCGGGCACAATACGAGGCTCCGTGGTACTACTGAGATTTTTTTTAAACCCGATTTTTTACTTTGTTCGACCCGGTAATCGAACCCGAGACCCCTTGCTCAGCAGGCGCACTTGCGACCACTCTGCCAACAAGGCAGTGATGCCAAATTAATATAAAGTTGTCTACTTCTTACTGAAAGAAGTTAGTATGCCTACAAAATAGTCGCATAGATAGCATAAACCACATGGACCACATCACATCAACTATCCTTAGTTATTAACGGTACATTACTGGACTATAGGCCTTGTCTAAATAAGAGGGGATGGTCTTTATCTCCACGCTTACCTCCAGGCAGTGCGGCTAATGAGAAAGTGCTGCTATTCTGTAACTATGATATTGCAACAGTGATGACCCGCTGGTAATGATATTTTTAATTAATTTTATGTTTATGGATAGATAAGTTTGGGTTACGATGGGGCTGACGTAGCCTATAGGATAAAAATAATAAAAAATATTCTGTTACTTTCAATTCGAACAATCGAAGTGAACTCGATTGCGGTCCGTCATGTCATTGGTTGTGAGAACAATTTCGACCAATGACGGGCGAGTTGCGATCGGGCTCACACCGAAAGATACATTGACAGTTGCAGAATAACGTAGATGCTGACAGCATTCTGTATAGTTTCTTAGTTGGCTCTCACAACAAAAGAATAATGACTGAATTCACCAATGACCTCTAAACCTTATTGTAACTAAGATTCACTTAATAAGAGCAGCAAAACTACCTCCTTATCTATATAGATGGTAGTCACTTAAAGGTTGATGAAATCCAAATGGACAAAAAATGTCCCCTATTTTAACTTAGCAGGGGATCCTTGATATTAAACAGCACTAAGCCAAAATGGTCACATACTTTTTAGTGTCACGTGCATCCTTGAGCACCCCTGTGGCTTGGTCTATACTGATGAAGATGATTGGGCTGATGCACATCAACAGTAGAACGACCAGCATCGGGCGTCTGATGCGCCACATCAATGGTATCATTTTGGACAACTGTAATTTGAGGCTATAAGTAAATTCAATAAAAGAAAGCAAAGAAGTTTTATTTTAATTAAACCTTGACCAAATTTTCCGGTGACCGGTCTTCCAGTGAAGTTAGATGTACATCCTGGTCACGTTAACGCGGCGCATATTGCCTTAGCAAGAGTCTGTAATTCCCTCTCTCCTTACCCAGTGTAGGAGTAGTAATGTAATGACTTCCCCCCCTGAAACCGCACTCTCTCTAGTGCTTGTAAGTGTTTCATATATATACATAGCCTGTCTCCCATGGCAGAGACTATGGAACGTCAATTGCTACGATTCTTACAAACCTCTTTCGCCTTCATCAACAGTCATCCATATTTTCATGCATGCCTCTTCGGTTAAGGGTAGGTACTTTTAATTTGGCCCTTTCGCCAATTTGGTCGATGTATGTCTGTGTATCTAAGGTGCCCTCTACAGATGGTCCCATTCATATCCGTTCTGTATACTTATAATGTCTATAATTGCTTGTGATAATTACACTTACCCTTATCAACATCTTTATGGTAAAAGTTTATCTTTTCCGATTGTAGAATAAATATGAACAGCTCATAAAAAGTAAAATCTTCAAAGAATATTATGTTTTGTATCACAAGTCCTCCTCAAATAACATTGTCGTGGGGGCAAAGGGTATTTTCCATTATTTTACTCATTGAAGTTCTCGGAAACCATCCTGCCGTCAATGTCAAGGAAGCCATTAAAATACCATAGATCAAAAAATTGAAATAAAAAAACTAAAATTATTTTTAAATGACCTTTATGGCAGAGAATATTTACGAAGGAGGTGCGAGAAAACATAGGGTATTCCAGGAAAATAGGGAAGTACAAGTATCAACATATTCCTACCTAATGCAGCACAATAAAGAAAAAACTAAAAAATAAGGCAGCTTAAGTTCGGATTACATATGTTCAAAAAGATTTGGGACATTTGGTGGAACAAACAATCGTCACAAATCATCATCACCATCAGCCTGTTTTCGTATGCTGGACATAGATCTCTTCTATAGCACGCCACTGGCTAGCAATAATTAAATAATACGTACTCATGTATTTATTTATTATATAAAGTACCCCAATACATCTCACCCCAACTTACATGGGACTCATAACATAAATAGTGAAAAGTGGATGTTACATTGTGGCATTAAGTGCCGTAATGTGCACCTCTGCCCACTCCTTCGGGGCTAAAAGGCGCGATGTTATGTAATAAAGTACCCAATTTATTACCATGTAGATTGTAGACACAATACTGAATTATTGTCATTACGAATTTTACTGATAATGAACATCGATCAATTGTGTATATTTTTTTTGTACCAGAGCGATTTAATGAATTGTTATTGACCCTTCGGAAGGGCAAGGAGATTGCGCAATGAAACAAATATGTTTATAAATAAATAAATAACTATTATTGCTCAAGACACAGAAATAACAATCTTATCAATCATGTAAATAAGTCACAGGGTTCTTTAACTTAATCAAATGATCCTCGACTACATAAATCGGTTCCCCTAGACGATTAAACACTAACTCTTTCAAATCAACAATTGTAGAAACTTTGTCTAAAGCATACTTATACTTATTGTAAACATAAAGTCCATTGGTAGTACTAATAAATGGTTTATAATTAAAATCAGTGGTTATGGCATCAACGGTAAATCTTTCGTGAGTGTTTATCGCTCTAGTACCCAGTTTAACCCTGAACAGTTTTCTATTTTGCAAGAAAAACATGTTGTACTCATCATCAACTATTAACTTGTCTATAGCTATCCCTTGGACTTCTTGCAACGGACTAACAACACCATAATCAAATCTGTATGCCTCTCTCCGTTTATTTACGAAGAAAATAACATCTTTGAAGTATAAATATTGTATGTTGTCCTTAGCTGGTAGCTGTTCTGGTACTTTGTTATCGTTTAAGAAGAATAGACCGTCAGCTCCGCCGACGTAGACCCTGTTCCTTCTTTGGTCTACTGTAACTCCTGAGGCGTTTCGTACACCTTCTATGATTCCTGTGGCTTTAGTGTCAAGGTTGAAGAAAGCAAGTCCTCTCATAGGTTCTTTGGCGATTTGATCGAAGGTGAAATATAGCGTATTATCATTGTCATTCAACGCTAATTGATGGATGTTGTTGATGCCTTCTTTCAAAATGTCGATTTCATAGCATTTTCTATTGAAGACTACGCCGTAACACTTTTCGGTGGATGCCGTTGATAGGATGGCCGTGAAGAAGAAGATTAGCTTCTGGAAATGAAAAAAATGTTTTTTTTAGAACGGTGTAATTTAATTTTATGAAATGTGTGTTGCTACAAGTATAGTGACTTGTGTAGAGTAAGAATTAGACTATTTTTTATGGAATAGGAGGCAAACGAGCAGACGGAACACCTGATGGTAAGCGATCAGTGCCGCCCATGGACACCCGCAACACCAGAGGAGTCACAGGTACGTTGCCGGCCTTTTAAAAAGTAATACGCTCTTTTCTTGAAGGTTTGAAAGTCTTATCAGTTCGGAAATACTGCCTACGACAGATCATTCCACAGTTTTGCTGTGTGAGGCAGAAAGCTACGGGACAAGCGCACAGATGTGGCCTGCTTACCATCTATATGATGGGGATGGATATGCTGTGTGGGTATGATCTAGAGTTAGATGCAAATAGATAGTGTAGGTAAATAACACGACTTTGTTTTTATAGATCGAGTACATAACAGAAAATAAATGCATTACTGGTGACGTTTACAATAATATGTTGAATTAAGTGGGACTTATGCTTTACGTAATGTTTACACGACACTTTTTGAATCAGTGGCATAGTTATGGTATAGTAAAAAGATCAGCGAGAAACAACGCTTGCGTTGTGTTAGTTGGAATTTGCAGTTTAAATGTATCAACTATATAGGTACCTAGAGGTATATTAGATAGGTATTCATCAACAGCAACAGCCTGTAAATGCCCACTACTGACCAAAAGCCTCTTCTGGTACAGAGGAGGTTTGAGCATTAATCTACACGCTTGCTCATTGCGGGTTAGCGATTTCAAATTTATAATTAGAAATTATAAGCCCAAGTTTCCTTACGATGTTTCCGTAATCGTTTGTCAGTGGTATCTAGATAATCTTAGAAAGTAGGTACATATTACGCGGAAAAAGTCACATTGGTACTTGCCGTTGGTAAGTGTCGACCACGCACTCTCATACATGAGAAGCGACCTCCGATGTACCACGACATTTTTAATATAGGTAAGATAGGTTGCTACTGCCTAATCATTGTCAAAGTGGGCTACTATATTTTCATTCACCAGATGACGCTAGTGTCAATCTCTCGTTCTTCGTCCAATAGGGAATTAGGTAGTCCCACACCATTGGACATTTAATATTTGACAGCTGCATTGATTGGACAAAAAATTCTCTTGCTAGATATGCGCCATCTAGTGGGCCCCCAATGAGTACTTAGTCCAAAGAGTAAGTAGGTATAGTATAGACTGTGGTATAGGGGAGTAGTCTCTTGGTCGGCTCTTACGACGTCAGCGGGAATAGTAGGTGACCAATTTATTTTATAACACAACTGTACATGGTCACTGTAAAGTACATTAACACAACATCACGTCTTTTATCCCCGAAGGGATAGCAGAGGTGCACATTAAGGCACTTAATGCCACTGTACGATGTAACACCCACTTTTCACTATTTATGTTATGAGTCACATGTAATAGGGAGTGAGCCTATTGCCATATACCGAGCACAATTCCAGACTCCGTGTTTATTAACTCATACTACATTTTAGTATATAATTGGCAAATACGACCATTATCATTTAAAAGGCCACCCATAGAGATTATGCTACGTACAATAGGCAGCAGATCAACCTATCCCTATTGGAAAACTTCTTCGACAAATTTTCGACTTTATCACAAAAGTATAAAGTTGATAATGTATTAAAGGAAATTGGTAAATTGATGTGCTGTTGTGTGTTTTGTATTGTTAATCAAAATTGGATTGTAATGCTTTAATATATATATACATACAATGTTATGCTTGTTGACTGGTAGCAAGGGTGATTTTGACCTTAAATTTTATGGTTGAACTAATACCTCTTTAGAGCCACGCAGCCACCCTTAGCAAAGCGTTGAAATTATGTTAAACCCCCTCTAAACCAGGCCAGGAACAGACCTTAGATAAAAAAATTTTAAGGGTCCCTTAGATCTAGACTAAAGTCTTTACTTAGAGAGGAGTGGACAGAGGGTAGAGAGGCCGGCAACGGGTTAAGACCTCCGCGGCTCCGTATCAGCTGGAGAGTGATATAGACTGCTGTTTTATTCATTTAACTATGCGAGCGAAGCCGTGAGTAATACCTAGTATTAGTTATAGTAATATAGATGCTACATACATTTACATTATGTACCTATACGTAATTGCTTATATTATTATATTTTCCAACATTCAAGGGCAAATACGTATATTTTTTGGAAAACAAACGTTATTCACAAAAGCAGAAGATTCATTTTCACGTATGAATGAATAATAATAAATGACCGTGATTAGAGGTGCCTACCTATTCAATACCAAATATTCTAAAATCAACTGTAATCACAATTAATTTAGTTTTTTTTTGAATGCATTTCCTGGTACTTAGATCATAGTAGTACATAGGTAGGTAGTATACGAAATTGACTAACTGTTGCCCGCGACTTTGTCTGCGAAGAATATAAATTTTAGGAAATACTTATTAACCTTTTTTTGACTTTTCCAAAATAAAAGTAGCGTTACTCGTTAGTGGGTTAATCAGCTACCCGCCAATAAAAGTTCTGTTAAAATCGGTCCATCTATTCCAGAGATTAGCCAATACAAACAGACAGACAGAAAGACAGACTATATGTATCAGAGACATTGCAGACATTGTAGAACATACTTTTTTTAAAAAGAGTAACGAATGGAGTTTCTTGCTCGTTCTTCTCCATTCGAATCTACGTTTTGGAATGAGCACCTAGCTTCACCTAATTTCACTGACGGTTTGACTGACAGACTATTATTTATTTTGTATTTGTTGACGTTTCAAAAGTACCAAACTATGGTTTAATTGAAATAAATACTTTGACTTTGATAAAAATTAATAATAAAAAGAAAATATTTTAGTATAGGTATCATATATGTATGTATGCATGTACCTAGTAAAAAGTGGTTAATTTAAAATTACACCGACATTCCAATTTCGTTCATCTAAGAGATTACCAGATTTAACTAAATGCAATATGCAAACCATTTCGTTTAGTATTCAACACATACCTAAGTCTAAGTTCGATTTGACCTGTGTAGCAATTTTATTTTTATGTCACAAAAATTAGATTTGGTCTCTACCAATAACGTTATGGCTTTTTAGTTCCGTATGTACAGGCAGAGGTCACTGAGGTGCTCATATAAGTATCTACAGTACAATGTGTGTTACATTGTATTCTTTACCAGATGATTATGTGGTACTAGCAAACACGGCGAACTCCGTTTCGCCACCAGATGGCTTCGTTTTATGTAACATTTCGTTTGGTGATTAGTGAATTTTCTTTGTTATAAACCTCACGGAGCCCGAGACGTTTCCAACGAATGCAAAACTGTTGAAATCGGTTCGTGCGTTCTGGAGTTATAGCGTCAGGAAGGGAAACCCGACTTATTTTTATATAGTAGATTTCATATTAGATGTTTTTTTTTATTTACGAGGCAATACAAAGCTGTCTGTTCGTCAGGACACGATAAAAGATTAAAAAAATACCTGTGTGTTATTTATCCGAAACTACATAGTAAACTACCACTGCCTCTAGGGTTGCCACCTTTTACTTTGGTATTTAAAGTACATTGACGATTATAGGTAAGAAAAAAAAGTACATAGTACAAAAATAAAGTACAATTTATTCTTATTTAGTATTATATTTAAAAATATACTTTTTATTGCTTTTTTCAGTTTGTATAAAATTAATATCTTTACTAATCTTTACTAGAAATCGTCTAAGTGGCGCTGGCGAGTGGCGAAATCGATTCAACATAAGTCGATAAATATCGATATCGAATTTTGCAAAAATAAAGTACTTTCGTGTACTTTATTATTCTTATAAAGTATAGAGTACAATTACCTTAAATAACGTACAATACTTTATTATAAAGTACGGGTGGCAACCCTAACTGCCTCGTTGACCAAGTGGTCGCTAGTGCGACAGCCGGGCAAAGGGTTTCGGGTTCGATTCCCGAGTTGGGGAAAGTATTACTGATTTTTTTTTAATTTCAGTAGCATCACGGAGTCTGAAATTGTGTCCGGTATATGGCAATAGGCTCACCCGCTATTACATGGGACTCATAAAATAAATAGTGAAAAGGCGGTGTTGTATAGTGGCATTAAGTGCTGTAATGTGCACCTTTGCCTAACCCTTCGGGGATAAAAACGCGTGATGTTATGAGTAAACTACCAATACTGTTAATGTGTCTCTCAAATCCGTTCAGCAGTTTTTGCGTTATAGAGTTATACACTACATACACATACTCACAAACATTTTACATTTTTAAATTTTAGTACGAATTAGTAGAACTAGAAAATACATCAGTAGTATAATATAATTATTTATTTTTTGTAAACTTGTCATAAAATAAAATGTAACAAAACTTACGTGCATTTTAGTCGTCAATTCCTGCTACTACCGCTGCGCACACGCATTCATATCGAATGTATAAAGCGAACTGGCTGATTTGTTGTTGTATAGAAGGCCATTGGGGCATGACATTGTCTACTATTCTATAGTTAAGCGGAAAATGATGTAACCAATATCAGTCTATAAAGAAGATACTAGATAATATTAACATTACATCTATTAATTCACATTTTTTATTGTTTTATATCAACCTACGAGGTTAAATATTTATTTACAGCTTAAAAATAAATTAATATTTCATATATAAGAAAACACAGAAAATAAAAAGAAAACAAAAAGAAAATGTTTAACTTACTTACGTCATTAGGAGGTGCACAAAAGACTGGCAGCATTGCCACGTTGGATGGCCAGCCTTTCGATCACCTGAAGTGTCAACCATCCTCTTTACAATATCTTTATAAAGAACATATGCATTTGGACCCCAATTTGTGATGACCCATGTTGTGATGGCAGAGTAAAATACCTCCAATTCATCATCTCTACTCTTTCCGAGGTGTCATAAAGGTTGACTTTTTGTTTTGATGGGAGATAATTTTCCTATGATTTCTCCCTCCTTGGGAGAAGCGGGAGGCAGTGTCAGACTCTTACTGATTGAAAGTGAACTCGTTCCTACTCCGGCTTCGACCCGGAGCCCCGGTAACCCGCTAGGTCGCCCGCAGCTTCGGCGTAAAAGTCCGCCTACCGACTATTAACTCGTCGAGTACCGGTTTTGTAGACACAATTATAGAACAATAGGTTGCGGTCACCGGTGACCGCTTGGTGTTTGACAGTTTAATAACCGATCTCAATCACAATTCAATCAAAAAATCGATTTTGACAGGAACTCTACACAATTAATGTGATAATCTTTGAAATAAGATAGTTAATTGCATATTTTAAACTGCAATGGTCACTTATCCTGCTAAGCGTAAAGTTACGTTGTGCAAAATCCCATGTAGGACATGTAACGATAACAAAGTACATCTATGCTTAATTTTAATTCAGCAGATTCTAGATTCCTCGCCTTTTTTTTACAATCCCAAGGGCCTCTAGCTTACGAGTCACATTTTCGAGTACCCAACTAGCAAAGCAGTAATCGTTAAAAACAAGAAACGAAAGAGAAAGTTGAAGCCATGATAGGTACAATCGACAAACTTGATGGTCGACCATCATTAGGTGATATTCGCATGCATTCGGCGCGAGCGACAGTAGACAGCGAGTTGGCTGCAGGATTTTTTTTAAAAGGTGTACTACCGTAAACTTTGTCGATAGTACATACACATATACACATAATACATACGTAGATGTTACAACATAGTGTGTTATGTAAGATACCAGTGTCTGCTTAACAATCAACGCATGGTTGTATTCTAGTTAATCTTTTTAGCTATGAATCATGGTTTTGGTATTCGATTGCATTTGTGTATTTATTATTTTTTATATAATTATGTAGGTAACATAACTACCGTGCGTGAAACATATAGCTAACTACGAAATTATTGAAATATAAGTTTTGTTTACTTGAACAATAGGCGAACTGTTTGAAAAAAGCTCGACTAGTTTCAAGCCGCTACGACGGTATGCATTGAAACGCTCTATTTTCAAAAGTTGCAAATTGTGTCCGATAGATGTCAGTAGTGCCTCTATTACACCTTCATAACATTGTATTTCTCACTCTTTGTTTATATATGATACGTACATTGTACCTACATATAAATAATATGTACGTCGTAAGTACATAATTATTGTTTGGTGATCACTTGAAGTGAGTAGACTTATTTAAGTTGATTTAGATATAGATAGATCGTTTTGTAAAATATTAAAATAGCATTCTGTCAGCGACTTCGTACGCACAAATAAGTAATTCCCGTTCCCATGGGAATTTAGGAATATCCTCTCTTAGTTCTCTACGTTCCTCGACGTTTTAGCTTCCTAGGTCTAGCAGTTTTTTGCTATGCGTTGTCAGTCAGTTAGTCAGTCACCCAGTGACTCTTCCGTTATACATATATAGATTTATATGCGCAACGGTGTTAACGGTGGTAATGGTGTTAAATACCTACAATTCATATTAAATGAATATGTGTCGTAACATTGTTTACAAGCGTAGATAAAATCGACCTTGGTTTGTTTAAATTGTATCCTATTCGTTCTAAAATTAATTCCAATTTGATTATGACTTAGCACTTAATATGAACAAACAAAGAATGTGGATAGGTTTTGGAGTTTATAAAAATAAGTAAAACTCATAACTTGATTTTGTGACACGTATTTTCTTTTTCAAAAATATTCTAATGCTTTCAAAATACGAAATAATGATAACGGATTTTGGGTATTACTCATTTTTTAAAATATTTCGCTTTATTTATCTATTTTAGGCTCTACGGATATTTATCTTAGCGTATTTAACCAAAATACTCTAAGCTATTAAGTATTTATAATAAGAATTTACAAAAACAATTCAAACAGTTTTATTTTTTCATCTTTTTAGTGCATTAAATGCATAACTAAACGCATTGAATAATTTTAAATCTGGTTACATTGCACGTGCTACAGTCAAACATTACGACTGTCAATGTCACGCGTCTCATCTGCTGTCGGACGATTGGAACGCAAGTACTTGCGTCGCTCGCGGTCGCAAAAGTCAGAATCTCATCGAAGCAAGTGTTGTATTACATATAGTTAGATTGGAATCTCGAGTTTTATAATACTCTATCACGCAGTTAACATCTGTAACAAAATAAATCTTTAGTTTTATGTGCAACGTATCTGAAAGTGTAAATCTCTTGTGTTTTATAAGCCGAAATATCAAACAAAATCCTATTAATCTCATTGGTTTTGTCGATCGAAAGCAATCAGCAGTGTTGAATATATCGGATATTTTTTATTTAAGAGGTAAGTGATAAACAATGCCGTTTTATGGAACTAATAAAATGTAAACAAACAGTTTAAATAAATTTTGTAATTATACTGCGTTAAATTGATTGCATTATGTGCCGAATCGCACTAAATCGATTTGTTGACGCACTTGAAAATAAACAATAAATAATATTCAAAATACAATATAATTTAAAATCAGTAAATTCTTGACAGAAAACTTGACAAATATGTGATTTTAGTGTCATATTATTATGTTTGCAGTGATTACAATAATATTTATTTTGCTCTTGTATATTTGTTTCGCAATGTTATTGTGTAAATAGTCTGTTGATAACTGATATTGCAACTGAGGATCCGTTTATACTACTTCAGTAGCTATATTTTAAATAACCTTGCATACTGATAGCACTTGAGAATTTTTATGTTTACCCTTCAGAAATAGAACATATCCAATGACTTTCAATTCTTATTTAGAAACACAACACATAAAGTCTGTACAGGTCAACATGACTAAAACTGGTTTATCCCATATTTTAAATCGGTTAAAAATGAATCACTCAATGACATAAGTATACACTCGACAAATAAGTGACTACTGGAAATAAGATAGTAATATTGTTATTTTATCTTTGCCATGATAAGGTTTAAACTGCCAAACACTGAGCGGTCACCGGTGACCGCAACCTATTGTTCTTTAACTCGTCGAGTACCGTCATTATAGACACAATTTTAGAACAATAGGTTGCGGTCACCGGTGACGCTTGGTGTTTGGCAGTTTAATTGTGTCTATAATGACGGTACTCAACGAGTTAACACTAGAAAGACGGAAAAAATCATCTACCTATAAAGACGGCGAGCGGTCAAATGACTGCTCCAAGTTTTTTTGATATTTTTTTATGTTTAAGTGCTAGAAATGGTACCTATAGTATTAAACATGGTATAATATACTGTTAATTAAGTAATATGTATAGAATTTCTAATTTTATCATTTTGTTTACATTACAAAAGCCGCAAAGTGGCTTTTTGCAACTGTCGCATTCTTTATGGGTTTTGTATTTGCATTTGTTTATATAATATCTTGGAATTTACTGGATTTTGTGCAGAAGATTGTGAAGTAAAAGATCTAGACTCTTCAGGCAAGGATTCAGTTTCAGAGAGTCTTCTTTAATTTATACTTTGCTTCTAAGTTCGCCCCCTGAACTTAGTATAAATAGCCTGTGTTACATGTAATATTCTACATTTTGCTATACCAAATGAAAGAATTATATTTAAAAAGAAAAATTATCTAAATTATGTTATATCTTTGCTAGATCTCAAATATGAAAAAAAAATCTATTTCACCTTTGAGATGCTCGTAACATTTTGACCAGTATTTACAAAAAGTTTCACAAGACGCATCGGTATCAATGGATTCATCGACATTTGACCACTTAGAGTAGATGCCATTTGAGGTGTGTACAAGATACAGTTGATAGTTGTGAAAAGACCTTGATGCTCAGGATCTTCCAAATTCCTTTCACAGCCTTTATCACTACAATCACGAGAACCCGACCTGTCAACGTCTGATAAATTTGCTCGAAGTATCTGGTCTTTCAGGTCACTTCCGTCCGTAGAGGAATTCGAACTGACAAGTAGTACCACATAATCGTTGTCGCTATCACGTTTTGTATTTTTAGAAAATCAGACTCATCTTCACAAATATTTTGGAAGTAACAAAAATTTTTTCATTTTCAAGACTCAACACGTTCCGACCACAAACTACTTTCAATCATTTCGTAAAAGTTCACAGACACTTGAAATGATACGGTCTCATTTGATAAACAAACTATAAATTAATTAGTGTATATAATTTGTATTCTACCCTCTCATATTACACTTATAAACACTCATTGGTTGTCAGCAGTCATTATACGAAAAAATATCCATTTCTGCCCTAATTAAAAAAAATATTTCATCGACTATTATGTAAGTAAATAAAAAATAATTTATGATTATGCTAAGTTTCCATTTAGATTTTTTAGTTTTTAACATACTTACTTTTATTAGTATGAAGTATGTAAGATTACCATACCATAAAAATACTATTTACTTATAGATATAAATAGTATTTTTAATATAAATCTATAAATAGTTTAATCAAGAAAGGAAATGAGCAGACGGACCATCTGATGGTAAGCGATCAGTGCTACATATGGACAACCGCAACACCAAAGGAGTCACTGGTGCATTGCAGGTCTTGTAAAAAGGAAGACGTTTTTTTGTCAAAAAGAATCAATAAGCAGTAATAAAATCTACATTTACAAAATTATCTTTTGTCAATACACGGTTTTGTCTCTGTTGCCTCATAAGCTTTGACTAATTAGAATTATTTTGTTAAAAATATCTCGAATCAGATATTAAAATTTTTCTATTTTGTAGATAATTAAATTACACATCAAAGATTTATAAGTCTTAATGTCATATGTGTGCACTTTTTCATGTAAATTCCATTGGTAGTGGTAGTTTTGTAACTTTATTACATTAATACGTTACGTTTATTTTATAATCACTGCCTCATTGGCCGATTCCCGGGTTGAGCAAAGGGTTTATAAAAACCTCAGTAGTAGCACAGAGTCTGGAAATGTGCCCGGTATATGGCAAGAGGCTCACCCCCTATTACATGGGACTCATAACATAAATAGTGAAAAGTGGTTGTTCATTTTTTTTATGGCAAAAGCCGGTAAAGGAGCTCACGGATCACCTGATTGTAAGCAATCGGCGTCACTCATGGACACCTGGAACACCAGAGGCGTTACAAGTGCGTTACCGGTCTTTTGGGGAATAGGAATTTGAGGATTGTTGGGGATTCAGGGATTGGGGAGATTGGGGAAGGGAAGGGTAATTGGACCTCCGGCAACCTCACTCACACAACGAAACACAACGCAAGCGTTGCTTCACGTCGGTTTTCTGTTCATTGTACAGTGGCATTAAGTGCCGTAATATGCACCTCTGCCTATCCCTTCGGGGATAAAAGGCGTGATGTTATTTTATTATTATTAAGTAGAAAATCCAATGGCAGACTGGAGTAGGTTGACCTATTGGCCATTGTACCTAATTATAAAGCATAAATAATATTTCTTAGTTAATTTCTGGCCACCCTCAATTAACTATGTAGATTTGAATGACTAGGTACTTGAAAATTTTGACTAAATGTGTCGTTAATGTAATTAATACATATTGCAAGTGTATTGTAAACTCCCAACTAAGGAAAAAGGAAAATTATATTAAAAATGAAGGTCAAAATGTTATCTAATGCATACCTACATGCACAGTGGGTAGCAGGACAACCTACCCTTTGCTGTCAAATTTCTTTATTACATTTTCAACTTTATCGTTTAGACATAAAGTCGAAAATCCAATGATAAATATTCACGCATTTGAGAAGGTTAATGTGATGGGCACAGTACATGGAATTTATAGGTTCATTTACTTACCTATAAAAGATAGATAGGTAAATATTTGTATAATAATATCGTTAAAAGTATGTACAGACTAGCTTTTACCCGCGGCTTCCCTCGCGTCTCAAAAGGATAAAAAGTAGCCTATGTGACATATACACACAGCGCCATCTATACCAATGATTTCGATTTTCCTCGAGAATATCACATTTTTCCGGGATAAAAAGTACCCTATTATTTAATCCAGTCTAACTTTACGTCTGCGAAAATTCAAAGCAATCGGTTTAGTAGTTACGGCGTGAAAGTGGAACAAACAAACAAACTCACTTTCCGATTTATAATATTAGTAAGGAGTAAGGATAGTAAGGATAAGGATAAGGATAGTAAGGATGAGGATTATACAGTCAGTACCCATCGATAAATATTGCTTATTGCAATAACTACACGACAAACGAAAACATGGCCGCTATACATATGAACGTGTTAGATGTTCCACCCACTTGAACGAAACGTTTCGCTTCGAGTTTCCTTGTGCAAATGATTACTAAGAATCACAAATCGCGTTGAATTTTGTTTATTTTGTTTTTTTACACAAACCTATTTTCGCTGATTCTATATTTAATTCAAAGGTTGACTGGGAGCAAAAAGCCAAGTCCGCCTTATGTAAAAAATTCCTTTCTAGAAAAAGAGTGACCTATGGAGTTTCTTGCTCGTTTTTCTCCATAGGAATCTACATCTTGGAATGAGTAAATAGCTTCAGTAAAGCTCTAACCGACAGACTAACATTTCATGACTATTTTAATAGTAGCTATTTCCGCGCAGTTCCACCCGCTCTGCTCTTTTCGTATTGATCATAGTATGATGTTTTATAGTATATAGCGTTCCTCGATAAATGCACTATCGAATACAAAAATAATTATTCAAATTCGACGAATAGTTCCGGAGATTAGCGCGTTCAAACAAACAAACAAGCTAACAAACAAACTCTTCAGCTTTATACAATAGTAACTACAAGATTTTGTTATGACTTTCAAAAGTGCCTTCCTGGTTTAATTTGATATCATTGATTTTGACTTTGACTACGTGTCTGTCTTTCCAGAAAGGTAAATACAACCTTGGTGTGTTCGTTCAAGTCTTGAGTGTAAGGGTTGCTTATAGGTAGTCATAGCTTACCACCAGGCTAGATAGTGGCCAGACACTGACTTACGTACGTATACGGCTACATCTCAATCTATACAAAACTAGTTTATCCTGGTGTCAGTTCAGTTTATACTGGTTATGTAAAGCTCGTTGTGTAGCCGTGTGTACGTATACAAAACATTTTCTTTTTAATTTTTTAAGCGGTTCATAATCATAGGCAGTATGCAGTTGACCGATTATCTCTTTCCAAAGGTCGATGTGCAATGTTTATCGCAGGTTACTGGACGTATTAGGTATCTATGTAGTATGTACGCACATAACTCCTGAACGACTGCACCAAGGTCGATTTGGTTAATTTTGATCTTGAGGTTACTTTACGTAACCTATTTGTGGAAGTTGAGGAAAGAAATGAAGTACCCAGTCTAAATACATCAGTTT